ACAACTAGGGTTTCTTCCTTTTTTTTCAATTTGAGTTTTAATTTTCTAGATTTTATTTTATTTTTTTTCAGTTTTTTTTTATCTTTAATATTATTTAAAATCCACATAAGCATCTATGTCATTTAATGAATAAATAAGAACCATTAGATGTTATGTAATCAAAATGCTTAAAAAAATATAAAAGTATTTATAAACATATTTGTCTTTTCATCGTATCTCATATTTTAGATATATTTATCATTAAAAATTTGTTGATTGCTTTTCAAGGTTGGTTTAGAGATTGCGTTATCACAGAACTGTTTATTCTGGTTTGTCAGTATATAATACAATGGCGTTCCAATTAGTTTACAAGTTCAAGTTACGAGAAATACTTTCCTTTTAAGGATTAATTCTGTAATAAATCAATTAAATTAATTTTTAGGGTGCGTTTGTTGTACTGAATTATTTAGGACTGGACTAGCTTTGTAGACTAAATTGGACTGGCTTAAATTAGACTAAGCCAAACTAAGTTAGTGAAGCGTTTAATGCAGTGTCAGACTAAAAATAGAATAATTAATAAATTATAATATTATAATATTTAATATATATCTAATAATATTTTATTATGACTTCAAGCTTCTCCTTCTAAAAATTCTAAACACTCTTCAGCGGTTCTATCTCTCTCTAGAGAGTATTTTCTTCCTCTTTGGTTTCATCGCCATTATTTCCTTTCCTCCCATCTTTTTTCCTTCAAAATGCCTCAAAGTTCAATTTCATTTTTTTTTTTTTTTTGCAAAACACTTCAAAACCATTTTCCTGCAAAATCATCCCCAAAGCTACTCTCTCTGTGAAATCCCGTTCCTGAATTTCATTGTTATAATCTACGTATTTGTATTATTGAGATTTTATATTATTTCTCGAGAATTTATTTTAAATTGTTTGAATTTAGATTTTAACTAAACTAGTTACAAAGTTTGAAGTTTGAAAATTAATTGCTTAACAAAAGCCGTTTGCGAGTTCGAATTATAACGGTATAGTTATGGACATTTGAAGTTGTCTTACTAAACTATAAATTTTAAATCGATTAAACTTCCACAAGGAAGAAGCCTTATCAATTTAAGCAAAAATAAGAGGACCAATCAAATAAAAAAGTTTTTTTTGGGGGGGGTGTTCTTAAAAAAAAAAAAGAAAGAAAAAAAGAAAATGGGGCTGCTGCTAAGAGGACCAATCAAATAAAAAAAGTTGTTTTTTTGGGGGGTGGGGGGTGGGGGGGGGGTGGTTCTGAAAAAAAAAAAAAAAAAGGGACTGCTGCTAACCCATTTTGGGGGCGAATTGGACCCGTTAACCCACTAACTTGATCTGCTTGTATTTCCTTCATTCGAGCTCCGTTTTTGGTGATTTTGGTGTCCATGGAAAGCTCTTGACGAGGCCTACATCTCTGTAGGGTTAGATTTCCCATTTTCTTTTCCATCTTTGCAATTCAAAGCCACAAAGCCCACGAGTTTTCCAACGGTTTTATCATTTTTCCTGTGATTCCGGCAACCCTTTCCTTCGAGTGAGGTATGATACTTCATCTACTCTTCATAATCTTCAAGTTGATATGCTTAATTTGTGCTTTCGTATTCATTTTAGAGTTAGGTGTTTAGAACCCTAGAAATCTGATTTTCTTCGGTGAATTTGGACGGTTTCCAGTTAGAATTTATCATCAGCCTAGTTGCGAAAAGTTTTTCCTTTGTTGAGCTCTAGTTACCAAGTAAATTTGAACTCATTTAGTTAATATTGCAAAATTAGGGGTTTCTAAACCCTCCACCTTGACTACCACCGCGTGTGGCGGTGTGTGGGACCTTCCACGAGTGTCGTCTAGGTACCAAATCCTTCTAGTGACCCTGTGAACCTATGTCTAGCTCGGTTTCCCAAAATTCCATTGTTTGGTGTGGTGATCAAATTGGACCGCCACTTGTTTGGGTGATTGACGATAATTCGACCGTTGGATTGTCACCAAACCTTAATGCATTATAGAACATTATATTTAGTTAAAATTAGTATTAATGGAAGTTCTGTGAGGCTTTGCGGCTTATCTCGGTGAGTGACTTTAACATATGTAATATGGTTATTACCTTAATTTTCTTATTGGTATCATCTGTGAATATGACTTGGTTTTATAATGTGATTTCTATTGAAATGTGATTATATATATATATATATATATATATATATATATATTTAGCCATAGAATTATGTTTATTAAACATGATTTGGCTTGTGTACTGATGATGATAGTGATATGTGATTTGACGTGCATATTTGAAAGGTGGATGATTTGCATAGATGGTATGATATGATGAAATGTGAGTGATTTTCATGCATGTGAATATGAAATGGTTTTATAATTATGTTTCCTATAAATTGTTAATTTTTATATTTAGCCATCGATGTCGTTTTATGAAGTGGGATTTGACGTGCATATTGGAAATATGGTTTGTTTTGTATGATTGGCTTGATTTGATGAAAGGTGAGGGTTAGTGGTGGACCGTTAACCCATTGGCATGGGGTTTGTTGCTTCAAAACGTGTTTCACCCCTCGTTCCATTATTTCATTTCTTATTTCGTTGAGCCTTTATAACTTGAGTAACTTGATTCATGTGTTGTTCATTGATTGGTTGTTATGCATTGTGCTCCACGATTCCGTTGAGTGATGGTCCGGAATCCCTCCTACTCTACTCCACAATTCCGTTGAGTGATGGTCCGAAATCGTATCTTGGTTTGGGTTTCGTTGAGTGATGGTCCGAAATCCTTCCTACTCCACTCTACGATTACGTTGAGTGATGGTTCGAAATCGTATCCTAGTTTGGATTCCGTTGATTGATGGTCTGAAATTCCTCTTACTTTGTGTTTTGGTTCCATTGAATGGTCTAAAGCCTGATGTTGATGGATTTCGTTGAGTGATCCGAAATCGCATCATTTGATTTGTGGGTTCCTTGGATTCATGTTCAGCTTCAGAGTTGTAGGCTTCAGCCGAACTGAGTTGCACTAGCCTTGCATTTTGGTGTATTGTGTTTTATTGATGATGTGAAAGTGGAATTATGTTGATTGTGATTGTGGGCACTATGAGTAGATTTGTTGATCAATATGGCTAGAGAATATGATTGTGCTTCGTCGTTTGTTCTTTGAAATATTGCATGATATGCATTGTAGTATATTGTTGAGATATAGCGATTTATGTAATGAATATTCGAGTGTAGTGAAATAATGAACTACAAATGGCTTGATCCTTATTTAGGGTACGTAGGCAGTCTAATAAGGATGTTAGATGCAGCCATAAAGTCTACGAAGAAATATTGCGCAGTTGGATCTTAAGTTGTGTTTTGCCATTATCCGGTGATGGGGTATGTTAGAGATATGGGTATTTGGTGACGTCACGTATCGATCCTGGACGTATGTCAGGATTGGGGCGTGACACTCTCCTCCCTCTCCGTTTCTCCATCTCTTTTTATCCCCAAAGCTACTCTCTCCCCTTCTCTATCCATTTTTATCTGAAATTTTATGGGAAAAATAAAAATTATCTGGGACATTTCTAGGAAGTTTCGGGACTAAGGAAGAATTTTTCTATTGAGATTGTTGTTGTTATTGTCTTGCTTTTTCTTTTTGAATTTTGGTGGCTGGATTTTAAGATTTAGGTTGTGAGTGGGATTGGGTTTCAGATCCGGGCATGGGTGGGCAAACAAAGTTGCCTAGAAGCATGCTTGCAGACTTGCAATGCATACATCGTATGCAGTTCTGGAAATGGGACTAACAATTCCATGGTTTTAAGGGGTTTCGCTAAGACCGGCTAATCCCATGGTTAGTCGAGGCAAGTGGAGGTTAGTGTCATTAACGTTGGTCCCAATGGGTAACAAATAGGGGACTGGACTAACACTTAGTCCAGTCTAGTCCAATGAGAATTAGCAAGGGCAAACAAATGTGCCCTTAGTGTTTAACAAATTAATATTTCATGAATTAGTGTTTGATCCCTAAACTATTTCGGATTTGGTTGATTTTTGACATGGTTAATATTTGAAGACAAACACACAAATAGGATCATTGTGTAAAAATACATTTTAGAAAACAAAGCTAAGAAAAATAGATTAAGAAAGTTCAAATACAAGTGTTGCTGGTTATTTAGGCCGGCGTTATGACGTGGAAATCCACCGGGGTTTTTGGCTCCTGCTCAACGATCAATGGTTCGATTTCATGTGGTGCTATCTATATCTTTATTTTTACTTTTCACATATTATTCTTAATTTTTAATCTCAAATAAAATGAATTGAAAAAAAATTAACAAACGTACGTATAAAGTAAAAATTAATATGTGAATATTACTATCCTTTCTCGATTTTGGCCTTTTTATTTTTTATATTTTTTTTTGTTCCACAACCACTCAGAACATCTACACGTGATTCCAGGTGGCATGATATCCCAAACCACCGTCACCATGCACAATCAATATTTTTATCATTAATCATAATGCATTAATTGCCATAATACCCTTATCTCACACCCGCCAACGCTCCTTCCAGTCGGTCACCCCGTCGGCTGTCGGTGACCCACTGCTCATCAACCTCACCGCCATCTTCATCCAAATCCAAGGGCATTTTCGTCCATAAAAATTGAGACTGACTTGCCCTCCTACTCCTTACCAGTTTCCTACTAATAATTTGGTATGTCATTACAGGTATTGAAAGCTATTATATTTAAGTTTTCTAATTATCTGAATATTTTATTTTTAATCTCAGCATTCACTTCTATATCATTCAATTTTACGTAAAACTGTTAAATATTTTAAAAGCGTGCCAACTATCTAACTTTTGAGAAATCAGGGACTATGAAAAGTTTAAATATGTGTTTTTTTGCATAGCTTATAAATTATAAAGCTAATGTTAAGGAGCGCGGATTTATAGACAAAACCTTTAAACTAAATATATCATTAATAAAAATAAGCACGTTCATCTACAAATTTACTCCCCTCGCATTCCTCAAATTATAAACAGCTACCATTAGAAACAAAATAGAAAGAGGACTCCTCTTTCCTTCTTCTTCCATGAGTTCTCCAGCAACCAGAAATAGGAGAGAGAGAGAGAGAGCTGCATTCAAGTTCATAGATTGATTCTCTCTGTTTTCAGAATTTAAGGAGCAGAAAAAAAAGGAAAATTTAACACTGTACTACTGCAACCTCAGACCAAGTGAGTATTTTCTTAATTTTTTTCCCTGTATTATTATATGCGCGCACTGCCTCGAACAAATCGAGAAAAGCACATTCCTTGTCGTCAAAGTAAACAGCTTTTTACCATCTGGGTTTGGTTTTTTAGTGTATTGTTGTTAATGTTGTTTTTGTTGATGCAGTCTGTGAGAAATGCCGGAGAAGGGGCTGAGCTGGCCGTCTTCGCAGCCGTGGACGGGGAGTCAAAGGTTCGGTCATCTGCTTCAATGGCGAGTTGGGTTGTTAACGGCGGTGGTTATCGTCGGAATGGTGGTGGTTTGGAGCGTCGATGCCAAAACTATGCAGAGCTTCGTCGAAGCAACGAGGTCCCGCCAAGCTTACCTCACTACAAAGGTTAGTGCTTTAGCTAACCTCGCCCAAACCCATCAAAATCTCGACTTTAAATCCTTCCACATTGCGGTTAACCAGACCAAGATAACCCCGAATCAAACCAATTCGACCCAGAACCAGATCAAGACGACCCAGAACCAAACCAATGCGACCCAGTTCAAAACCCACTTGGGTTTTCAAAAGCCAGTGAATTTTTCCCAATCTGAACCAATTTCTGCCCATAATCCAACTGGGGTTTCTCTAAAATCAGGAAGTATGAGTTGGGTTGCAGCTGGATTGGAGCCTAATTTAACAAAGAATCTTCTGGCTCGGTGGCTAGCTCCGGGAGGAGAGCCCTGTAAAGATTCTAAAACAGTAGAAATTTCAATTCTTGATGTGGATGGTAGGGATCTGATCGAGTTATCAGCCGGTGAAGTGTATGAGTTTCAGTTTCTGGCATTGGGGGAGGATAAGAACCCTAGATGTTTGGGTGGGGATTACTTCGAAACCGATCTTTCTGGGGATTCATGGAAATCTAGGCCTCTGGTGAGAGACTTTGGCAATGGTTCTTATTCTGTTAAGCTTCAAGTTCATCAGGATTTTGTGGGGTTGTACAATTTTACTATTATTTTACTCTTTAGGCATTTTGAGGGTCTTAGATTTTCACCAGCTAGGTTTGCGTATGATCGAGAGCTGCGAAAGATTCCGATCAGGTTTGTAAAAGGCTCGGCGAAGTTGCCTGAGCTGCGTACTTGCGAAGAGTCCGATTTTGGGAGAGAGATTTGGGCTGGAAGGTGGACTAGGCATGGGAAGAACGATGACTGTGAAATCAGTAATGATGGTCGATATCGCTGTTTAGCTCCGAATTATCCTTGCCAAGGTCCATGGTGCAATGGTTCATTGGGGGTGTTGGAGAGTAATGGTTGGGTTTACTCCACACATTGTTCGTTTAGATTGTTTTCGGCTGATGATGCTTGGAATTGCATGAGCAACCGGTGGATTTTCTTTTGGGGCGACTCCAATCACGTAGACTCAATACGGAACATTCTCAATTTTATCTTGGATCGGCCTGATATACCCTCAGTTCCTAGACGGTTTGATATGAACTTTTCAAACCCGAAAGACCCTTCACAGACGGTTCGAATCACAAGCATTTTCAATGGTCATTGGAACGAGACACAAAATTACCAAGGATTGAATTCTCTGAAAGATGAAGGATTTAGGAACTTATTAAAGACGTACTTCTCTGAACAGACGGTTCCAGATACTATCATCATGAACTCTGGATTACACGACGGTGTATTTTGGTCCAACATAAGATCATTCTCTAATGGGGCAAGCTATGCAGCAACATTTTGGGTGGAAATTATGGAGTCGATAAGGCAGAGAGGATTGACGGTGCCAAAAGTCTTTTACCGGACAACAATAGCCACTGGTGGGTATGCACGAACTCTGGCATATAACCCTAGTAAAATGGAGGCATTCAATTGGGTATTGTTAGAGAAATTGAAGGAAGCCGGGCTCCTCGCCGGTGTAATTGACAATTTCGACATGACCTTCCCATGGCATTATGATAATCGGTGCAACGATGGGGTGCACTATGGCCGAGCTCCTGTAAAGATGAAGTGGAGAGATGGCGAAATCGGGCACCATTATTTTGTAGACCTTATGTTGGATCATATACTGCTGAATGCACTCTGTGCAGGAAGGCAAGCTTCTGCAAACATGTGAAGCAACTTCAAATTTTGCGGCGATTTTAGAACACGAGATTCCCCAAATGCAGGTTTTTTTTCTGGTGCTTGAAGGCAAAGTATGAGGGTGATGCATTCGTATTGTTCATTAGATTGAGCTTTTAGCATTCTTTATTTGTTTTGTCTATATATAGTTACATATGGTGTTAGACCACGTTTGTACATCATTAGAGAATTTTGTATTTCAAGTAATTAAAGTTTAAGCCTCCTAAAGCCAAGTTATCATTCAATATCAGGATATTTCGAGCTTGTTTGGTATCCTTCTTATATCTAATTTTTGGCTATCCAAATTTCTTCAGATTTTAAGTGCTCGAAGTCGCAAAATAATTTTTGGCCATCCAAATTTCTTCGGATTTAAGTGCTCAAAGTAGCAAAATATTAAATACTCCGGAGTACTATAGATTTTTCGGTAAATTAGTTTCTATTTAAGTTTTGAATTTGGTATGTGGTTCTGATGACACTAATTTGAAATCATCCTAAAATTTAAGGAGCCAAGCAGTATTTAGACTCTAAACCACACAGATTACGTCCTCAAATCAATTTCTTTTCTGATTCTAATCAAGACGCAAATGAGGTATAATGATATGAATCGGATGAAAGTTGAATGGCTGCATTGATGAACCAAGCAGTGAGCTGCATTAATTGGTTCTTGAAAGGTTTGATTGGTTTAGCTTGATTTGGTCAAGTTTTAATGGTAATCAAGACAGTCGCCTACTCAAACAGGCTTCAGTGGTCCGTGCAGGAATAATAATATGCTTAACTTGATTCATAAATTGTTGAGAATATTGATCCTACATTGGAGAAAGATAGAAGTTGTATGTGCTTATAAATAATTGGGTTACTCTCTATATTATCTCTTGGTTTTATGATGGAAACTCAACTTTCTTCATGGTATAAGAGCAGGTTGTCCTGCATGTGAAGCTTAACGGTCACACGTACTCCACATTACTCAATTTGTGTTGTTCATGTGCTTGGCTTTAAAATTCACTACATATTAAGGGGGCGTGTTGACCCTAAGTCACCTGGGATGTGGGTCCATATGCTAGGCTTTAAAATTCACCGCATGTGAAGGGTATGTTGAGAATATCAATTCCACATTGGTGAAAGAATGAACTTTGCATGTGCTTATAAATAATTAGCTACTTCTTATATTACCAATTAAATTTATGATGAAACCTCAACTTTCTTTATTAATATTCCAGTCGTAATAACTTACATTTGCATTGTACAGTATTTCTAGAGAATATTTTGATATCGAAAAATGATTTTCACACACATTTTTTCTTATATCAATGGCTTAGCCACGTAATGTTAGTCTGGTCACTCAAATTAATCGTTGTAGCCCACCCAATCTAAACCTATTTGCACCAAACTCACATATAGTCAATGTAGCAAGAGACACCAAGCCCAATCCCGCTGTTAAGAAAAATTAAATAGGACTCATCAATGATAATTCTTGCTCCACCCTTGACTTTTGCCCACCTATATTTATTCTTTCCTATGATTTGTGAATATTAGAAAAAATATGAGTGTGAAGATCGCTTTCTTTGGCGTTTGCCTTTCTATGGATTATCCATATGACACGTCCCAATCTCGATATCCTCCAAACATCATGATGAGCACATGCTAACAGACATTCGAGGATGACGAAGTCATTATAACATGCATGCAAGTTATGAAGAAAGAACGAACGTAAATAAAATATGTAAATTTAAATATAATGAAATATGCAAATGCTGGAACGTGTTCAGAACATACAACTAATCAAAAATACTATGAAAAGAATATTATATAACAATGAGATTACAAAGAAATGGGTCCTACACCAAGAGGATGACTCGAAGCTACTGATACGGGAATGCTTCAACGTTGTAGTAGTACGCCTCGATCTTAAGTCTTGAAGGGAGCACAAAATAAAATGATGAGTGGAACAAAGTTTATAATAATAAGAAGAAGAAAACTCAATTTTCTTTCTGAATATACTAACCCCCCCTTTTGAAAACACATATAGTACTACTTAGTATGTTTTCTAAAAACCCTAACATGCCATGAAAACCTTCGTAAAACATTTATATATAAAGCAATGCTAAAAAAGGGTAATATAGTCGCCTGAAGGCAAATCCATAAAACCTCCGTAAGTCATAAAATATTGTACTTAACTAGGGGTATCATAGTCACCCGAAGGCATATTCATCACCCGATGGTGAGTTGTACAACATTGGGTTACGCTAGTGAAGAAACATGGTGGCCCATCACCCGAATGTGAAGTTGTACAACTCTGGGTTACGCCAGAGAAGAAAAGGTACATAAGACACCGACACTGGTTTCACCAATGAAGCTGGGAGTATGTCATAAATATCTCACTACTTATCAACTGTGTCCTATGGCCATAGACAGATACATACTCATGTTGTGTATATGTGTTGTATGATTACCAACTAAGTAAGCACAAAAACATAAACATATCCTTTCCAAATCATATCATCGGAGCTCAATAGCTTAAACATCATATCATAAATCCATAAGAGCGTTCTAGCTCAAATCACATTCATGAGCATATTCATAAAGCGTAAATCCAATAATTCAGAACGTTTTATAAAACGTAAATTCGATAAATCATAAATATATTTCATGAAACCTAAAATTAGGAAATCATGCTTTTCATGAATGCAATCCTAGCATTTTAATAAAATCATGCAATTTAAGAAATGGTCCATTTATTGATACTTCATCACTGAAGAGAAGACGGGATCGCCACTAACAAACGTACCTAAGCACATAAAAGGAACAATTAGTAAAGCCCTACTAAATGATTGAATTTTGGAAAATGGAGCGCGAATTTGGAATCAGAGTGTCCAAATACCCTAAAAGGGGTATCGGGCAAATTTCATAAAAAGTCAACGAAAAAGTCAACTGAGACGCTAAGTCGGTCAACTACGTTAAAACTTCAAAATTTCACTAAACGGATGCTAAAAACAGATTCAGGACATCAAAATTACTCTAAGAGGATTCTCGAGAAAATTTTGTAAAAGTCAACGCAAGGAATATTCCAAATGTAATTAGGAACCGATCGGGTCAGATCCGGGCTTGGATTTGGTTCACTGGTTGGGTCCCGGGGCAACGGGTTAAAGGGTTTGGTCAACAGGTTCTTGATTATCGGGTCAGGTCAGGTCAACCTAATCTCTATCATAGGTCTTCGCGAAGAAGAAAACCGAAATTTAAAGGCTCCGTTAAGGGTCAAAACATAGCTAAAATTAGTAATCCAATATACCAATTTGAAGCCCAGGAAATAAGGAATCGAAATATACCATTACAGTTCTTTGCCACGGTCGGAGTTGGCTTAAAAATGGATTGCAAGGTCGCAATTCTTGCCCAAAAACAAGGTAAGCTTTCCCAGAGTTGTTTCTGCATCCCATCTCCACCAAATCAGACATTCATGGCATAAATTCGATTGTACACAACGAAAGGAAGAAGAAAGAAGGTGACCCGAGGCTTATTTAGTCGGAGATGGTGGAAACTTGCCGGATTCAATAGGGGCCCATGTCTCAATTCAAGCCCAGCATTTTGTCTGAGGTTCTTAGACTCAAGTAGGAGTAAAGAAGGGTGAGGTGATGGTGGTGGTGCTCGCCGAAGTGGCGAGTTGGTGGTGCCGCTGTTAGTGTTACAGAGAAGAGGGAAAGGACTGGAGAGATAAGAGAAAGATAGAAGTGAGGGGAAGAGAAGAGAGAGAGTTGGGAGTTTGGGGGGAGGAAGGACGCGGGGCAAGAGAGGATGAGAATTTGAGTGGGATACAGGTCCCACATGGCACACAAAACAAGCCCATAAAAGACAAACATAAAATATCTCCCGAACGTGAAATTATGAATTTACCCTCGACATTCTGAAAGTCGTAAAATCCTTGTTCTAACTCTAAATTTAATTCCTCTTGCGCCCATGCGTTCGTGGCAACGAGCATTACAAGAATACGCTAAGGAAATGAGTCTTACGCGACATGACATGATGGTCAACAAAAGTCAACATTTTTTGCCTCAATGGGAATTCTGGTATCACACTTACAATTATGAAAACCGTAAAATTAGGGACAAGCTATTACACCATAGTTTTATGATCCTTAAACTCAAAGCAAAATCATATTTAAATGAAAAAAATTGACATTTTAAAAGGCTACATTTGTGTGATTGATTTCCAAGTCATAAGATCCGTTTGGTGGGTTGGATGGGATAGGTTATGATCAATTAAAATAGGCTTGAGTCTAGTATGTTGTTTGCTATGTCAAAATGTGATATGGACAGGATTTGACAAGATAGGTTTGAATCCACAATAAAGTGAGTTATCTAACTTATTCTTATACATAGGTTATAAGTCCTGCCTTACAAGTTCATGCCAATCCAATCTTATCCTTAAAGCTCAATCTCATCCAGCCCACTAAATATTGCCCTAAGGGATTTTGATCAAGTTAATAAGAATACGTCACAAAATATTAGATAGAATTCGAAAACCAATATGAGCATTAGAAAAACGTGTGAGAGAATTGCAAATCTCTGTTTGAAAGGAATTATTTACAAATCCGCCCGACATGCATTTATAATGCTCATATGGTGTATTTCTAATTGTTAACGCGGTCATTTTAGGCTCTTACAACAGTGCAGGCCCAAGAAGGAGCCCGACAAAGGCCCAGGAAATAAGAGAAGACCAAGGCCCAAAGTAAGAGGGGAAAACCAAGACCTTAGGAGTTAAGAGGAGACAACTCTTTAGCACATGATATACCATGCCTGGAGTGCTAGGAAAACGTGCTAGGCATGCAGTGCTAGACATGAGTGTTAGGAAAATGTGCTAGAGAATGGTGCTTTACCGGGACCACTAGAAGGGTGTTTTTTCAAGACCACCAGAAGGTGCTCTACTGGGACCTCCAGAAAGTGCTCTAATTAGACCACCAAACCAAGGTGCTTTAATTAGAACACCAAAGTGCGAGGAAGACCATCTCTCTATCGAGACCACCAGAAATAATTAGACCATCTAACCAAGGTGCTCTAATTAGACCACTAGACTAGAGTGTTCTAATTAGAACACCAGAGTGCTAGGAAGACCATCTCTCTACCAGAACACGGTGCTCTACAGACGACCAGTACGATGACCAAGATCAGATATTTATTAGACTAGATATGTTAGTTGGCATATTTAATAGGGTGGTTAGGGAAATGCCACACCACCTTTATTTTTTTAGTACAACGATAGATTTTACACTAATGGAAGAAGGAGTTCGGCTAAACCACATAATGGTCAACCTAAGTTTTGTATCGAATTCGCCATCTACTATATTTGAACCTAAGACCTCTTAGTGAAGAGGAATACCACCAGAACATAGTACTGAGTAGCAGAGAAAAGATGGAGCTTTGAGCCATTTTTATGTAATTTTAAGCAAATATATAGACAGACTAGAGTGGATGTAATCCCGTTTATAGGTAAACCACTATATATTCTTGTGTTCATTTTTAGCCCAGTATTTACAGACTAGAATGGATGTAATCCCGTTTATAGGTAAACCACTATATATTCTTGTGTTCATTTTTAGTCCAGTATTTAACAGTTCATGTCCCAAGCCGACCAAGGGCTAAGTATCTTTCATTGTTTCATTCAGAATCTGTGACTGTCCATCGGGATTCGTTTGGATTTGGCCTGTTTGTAATTCATCCCTAACTAACTTGACGTAATTACCTTGAAATTTAACTTATCCAACCTTGCTCTCCATTGTTAAGCTTGGTTAACCATTTTCTGAGCCCATGGTCCAATGAAAAGAAATTCAAGATTAATTGAGTCATGAAATGCATAAGAAACCCAAAGCAAGCAGCCATCATTGAGCAAAAACTATCCAGCCCATCTACATCCAGATTGGGTTTGTCGAGTTTGAAACAACTTTCAGCCGCAGTTGTTTTTATTTTTTTAGTTTATTGCTTGTTTGCTAAGAATTTTAATTTGTCTTTTGACTTTTTTCTTCATTTTCTTCTATGCTAAAGTGTGTGTGTATATATACACACACACACACGAGCCAAATGAAAAATTAAAGACAAATGAATGGAAGTGGTGGGAGGGAGGAGGAAAAATTTAAAGGAGGCTATATGAAAACAAAATCCATTAAAATTCCTCAAATCTCATTAAATACACCCTCAACCAATTTAGCTCATTTTCTCTCTATCTTGTCGTCTTTCTCCAACCCTCTGCTCTATCTCTTGTTGTTCCTTATGGTAACTGGGTACGAGCCTGATATGCCATTCACAATGGTCATCTATACGCTTGATGCACTACGAGGCCAATATTGTTCTAAGAGGATGATGAATAGGTTTTGAAACCTAAAATTTTATACTCAAGTGCAATTGATGCTTTGTTGTACTTAGTTTAGTGCACGAGGCTGAACACCTCTTTAACTGTGAATATTTTAGCAACATACATTCATGCGCCTACACGTAGACACTAGAAAGGTGTAAAAGATGTTCTACGATATCTAAGTGGTATTATGGATTTGAGTTTGTTCTATCCCTACTCAACCATGAGTGGAGTTGTCATCCTTCTCGGTCCTCGAGTTGATTCTTGCTCTGTTGGTTATGCTGATACTAGGCAGTTATATCACCCGCATAAGGCAAGACCCTAAACGGGTTACGTTTTTATAGTTGGTGGAACTGCAATATCTTGGAGGTCTACTAAGCAAACTTTAGTTGTTACCTCTTCGAAACATACTGAGATACTCACCCTCATAGCGCTCGTGAGTGTACATGGTTTAGAGTCATTTTCAAGCATATTCGAAGCACTAGTGGATTGTCATCTGTATTGATGTCCCAATAATGATATTTGAGGATAATTGTACATGGATAGACTAGATTTAGAAAGGATATATCAAGGGAGACCACACCAAGCACATTGCGTCGAAGTTCTTTTTCTCTCATCAGCAACAAGGGCATCAAAAGATCAAAATCAAGCGAATTTGTTCCAATGACAACCTTACCGATCTCTTTACTAAGTCATTACCAAAGTTCAGTTTTTTGAAGCTAGTTCGAGAATTTGGAATGCATAAACTGTCCGAATTATACCGCTTGTAGTCTAATTAAAGATTTTGTTAAACTTAGGAGAAGTATCATTTAGATACCTAGTTGACCTTAATGTACTCTTTTCCCTTAGTTCAGGAGCATTTCTCCCATTGTTTTTGCTAACTTGACAAGATTTTTTTTTTGAGCAAGACACCTATCCTAAGTTGGTCATACTCTGATGTGAGCATTAATCACCACTTGTTTTCTTTAAGCTTCGACTTTGCACTTCTCACTTCTTTCCCGAAGCTTTAAATTTTGTCCCGTTTTACGTTTTACCATTATTAAGTATTTGTGAATATTATCAGTTCTCTTGAATAATATTAACTACAAGACTCCCTCAGTGTGTAACAACAAAATCATAAGACTACCAAATAAAACAACCAATTGCAACCCATAAAAAGAGAAAGGAAAAAAAAAAAGAAAGGCAATTACGAACCAATTGAGCCCCATTTCTCTCTCTTGCCGTCCCTCTCCTACCCTCACGGCCTCACGCTCTTGATTTTCCTTCAACACCGTTTTCATTTTGCACGCAACAAAACATGAAACCATCGCCATCATCCACGTTACATCATTCAGAGTTACATAAATCACAAGATTTCAATACACCCAAAAAATACTCAATACATTCAGAAGCAACTGCAAACCCCAACCCACCTACCATTTTAATCTCCCCGCAAGTAACTCCAGGAAAACTCCATCAACACACACCAAATTATACAAAAAATATTAATTAAATAATTAATTTCATCAACACATTTTCTACGACTTTCTGTGCCCTCCTGCAGCCTGCTGATCTCGGAAGATTTCTCCATCAAATCACGCAGATACGATAAGAAGGCAAGAAAACAAAAACATTGGGTGCCCGGAAAAGAACGAGGCAGGAAGCCCGCATCTTTTTGGAGCCGAATCAAATCTGGCAAACCTTGAGGGGTTGAGGCCTCGCTTGTCGTTGAAGCAACCTATTTACAACGACGACGACGAGGAGTGCAGGCCTTGGCGTCGGAGATTTTCCATGGCGTTCACTTGGGCTTCTGCTCTCAGGACCACTCTCCTCCTCCTCCTTCTGGCCGCCGTTGCCACTGCTTGTTTTACTCTCCCTATTGAAAAGGTTCGGTTTTTCTTATCTGGGTCGGTTTTGTTTTCGTGTTTTGATAGCTTAATCTGTGAGTTTCTTCCTTATGGGTTTTGTTTTCCGTTTAGTTTTCGGTATGGGGTTTCGATAATTGGATGATTTTGCTTGTGCGTTTTGATTGATTTTGTGATGTTTGATTGGGTATGCATCTTTTTGTTGATTGGATTATTGGGTAGGTCTTACATTTCGAATTGGTGGAAATTTTGGATTTTGCTGCAGCTGTGTTGATTTTTTTCCCACTAGAACTATTCTTTGGTGCTTTACATTTTTCTGAAATTGAGGGTAAAATTTGAATGAAATATAGGGAGGAGCCCAATTTGAATGGGATTGCGTTTTCAAGCATGCCGAAAATGCTGAACTCAATTTGATTGTTTGTTGATTTCTAACTAGGTTCTTATCACTTGAATAGTGACATGGATATCTTTGTTGCTCGTTAGTCTATCTACAATTGCAGTTTCCCTTTCGTTTGAAATGTGACAATGCAGTACGACTTCTCTTGCTAAATAGCATTAATTCTGTCAGCTGCAATAGGAGGTCTTTTTGTGGATCACTTCCTTGAGACCTTTTCGTACCTCAATTATTTGGCAAAGATGCTGATACTGAAGTCTCTTATTCGAATATGGTCATGTTTGTTGATTGATAAAGTAACTGGTACCTGCAGATTTTGAAGGACTTCTTATTATGGGTTGAGCATGATCTTGGTCCTTGGGGTCCCCTTGTGCTGTAAGTAAATTTTAGGGCTTTAATTTTGTTTCTATTTCTACCATTTTTTTTTTCTGGGTTTTGACTCTGACTAATAATAATGTGCATGTCTCATTTTGATTGCTGTCATAATTTCAATCATAATGCTTAGTCACAGAAACAGATTGCTGACAGGTTAAATTGTCCACAAACATGAGTTACTGGTTAAACAGTGATAGACTGCCTCTGTTTGCCCTTTCAACTTATATTTCTTTGGGTAACATGCAGGGCTATTGCATACATCCCACTAACAGTTTTGGCAGTACCAGCTTCAGTACTTACTGTAAGCATTTGTCCGATGCCTTAGCAATTGTTGTTACTGCACTGTAATTCTTGTCGAATAATGATCTAGCATATGCTTTGCCTACTTCACTTAAAGTTTTCTTTTACTGTTATATTCTGCAATAACCAGTCATGGTCTAGAGGGGAAAAGAGAGGAGAAAACTTAAAGAAAGAATTTTTTTAAATTTTTTTTTATTAATGGTTCAGCTCGGTGGTGGTTATCTTTTTGGCCTACCTGTTGGCTTTGTTGCCGACTCAGTTGGAGCCACTATAGGTGCAGGGGCTGCTTTCCTTCTTGGAAGAACTGTAAGTTTCCATTCTAAGCTCTTGTTGTTTAGAAAAATTTCCTGGTGTTTAAGTTCTGAAAAAAAAGATAATATATAATTGCATTTATGTGTGTGTGTTTGTGTGTGTGAATATATAATTGCATTTGTGTGCGCGCGTGCGTGTGCTCCCATTGGTCATAAATATAGTATGTATGCTTTCTTTATCTTATTCTTAAATTCCCACACAGATTGGGAGATCATTTGTTGTTTCCAGATTGAAGGATTATCCTCAGTTCCGGGCAGTTGCCATTGCAATTCGGAGATCCGGATTTAAGGTTTGTGTGATTCATATTTTACCTTCAAAAAATGAATTAACATTTTCAGTGTGCACATTTAATGGCGTTTCCACGTGCATCTTACCTTATTAATTTACCCTAATTTAATTTTTTTACAAATGGTAAACAATGAAGCATGGAAGTAGTGAAATGGCTACAGCGTAGAATGAACGTTATCTATAGTAGAATGTAAATAGATGCTGATATTACTTGTTTCATTCTTTCTGCAGATTGTTTTGTTGCTTCGTCTTGTGCCCTTGCTCCCCTTCAACATGCTAAATTACCTCCTCTCTGTGACTCCTGTTCCAATAGGACAATACATGCTGGCTTCCTGGATAGGGATGATGGTATTTTCTTCACCCTCAACTTTTATGTGATTCCATCCCAACATATTGCTATACTATGTTCCGTTCTAATCACAAGTAATGGACACAATGTTTTTCATTTTAAAATGCATAATGGGATATTGTCATAGTTTATTGTCGCTTTTCTTTCGATATATATGTTGATCAAGATGGTTGTCTTAGTGTATGTTTACAAGAATATAATTGTATGCTTGACTAGCATGCTTTGTTCACGTTGTGAAGTTAGCATTTACCCCTTTCAGTTACTCCACATGTTATAATTTGAGCTTGAAACATGCTACCCATTCATCCATCATGACTTCTTGTGGTCCATCAATTACACTCAATTGTGAAAATAGTTCAGCATCTTTTAGACATCGGTCATATCAATTTAACGTATTAGAGGGAGAGTTGCACTGTGTTAAAAGGTGGTCTGTATATTTATGAATTTGTGAATTTAATATGTGATGCAGATGCACGCTTCCATCTGTCTCAAGCTGATGTCAGTCTTTTGTTTGGACAATATTTAAGTTATGAACGTAACATATAGGCATATATTGGTAAATACGTGTGCAAGTTCTGATTAGGGAACTTGTGTACGAATGCAAAATACATGTGCTCTTTAGGTCCCTACCAGGCTGAGTAATATTAATTGTTTTATCAACTGCTATTTTTTGTTGCAACGTAGTTTCAGAGACAACTGGACAAGTTTCCTGAGCAGGCTTCAAACTTAAAACTTTATGTTAAAGAGAGATCTTTATCATAGGGGGAGATTTTTTGTTTCACTTCGATGTTCATGTGTTCAATGTTGGTTCTGTTACAGCCAATAACACTTGCGCTTGTATATGTTGGAACAACTCTTAAGGATCTTTCTGATGTGACGCATGGATGGGGTGAATTTTCAAAGACCCGTTGGGTAAGAGCTACCTCATCTTTTATCTGTTCTGGACTGCTTGTAATTTTTTAATTTGTTCAAATGATCTCTCCTCAACATTGTTTACTGAGATTTAGTATCTGGTGCATGTTGCGAGCATCCTGTCCCAAAAGGGTGTATCGTAACTGTTTGTTATGGACATATAAGCTCTTAGAGAGCACAATTTATAGATTTCAAATTAGGCTTTGGGATTTGTATAGCATTGTTTCTTCATTTTCTTTATCTCTGACATGTGTTCTCTCTCTTATATTTTGTATGCAGGCTTTTGTCATACTGGGCCTTGTAGTCTCCGGTAAGTTGCAGCATCTGGCAAGCACACACTACCTGTTTTTTTTCAGCCAACCTTCTCTTCTTTTTCTTCTTAGTATTGGGAGCATCGGAACTACCATGCTTGATAAAAATGTTTGGGTTCTTACTATCAGTAGCATGAAGCGTAAGATAAAAATGACATGTCAATGAAACAAAGAAGAAAGAAATAAGCAGCGAAACGGGAAAAAGATGATTTTTGAACTTTGGCACACTCTAAGTAGGAATGCCGGTGCTGTTGGATTTACAAGTGTGTTGAATAGCTAAGGGGGGAAATAATGGGAACGGGAAATATTGAAATCACTCCTGAAATTTGTAATGTTAGCATTTTTTACATGTGTGGTAGTCATTTATTAATTGCAGTTAAACAAAGCATTTTGATATTTCCCCAAAAGAAGATTATGGACCAGGTGAAATTGCTACTACTGGAAAGGGGCTAATAAGCAAAACTTGGTTATACATTGTACTACAATTGATGTTTCTGTCCATACATTGAAGTTTTGAAGTATTCTGTTTTCTTTTTCTTTGGCTTGTTTGCAGTGATTTTAATGATTTGTGTTACAAGAGTTGCCAAGGCCGCTTTGGATAAAGCTTTGGCTGAAAATGAGGATATTGATAACATCGATATTATACCAGAGTTACCTGTTGTCTCCGAAGCACCAGTGCATCTCAACCAGCCGCTTTTAATCAAGATAGATGCGCCTGACGACCATCATGAGAAATGAAATCCACGCTCTCTGTAAATTCTTCAGTCCCACCTCCTCCTTTCAAAGTGTTATGCTCAATTAATACTGCAGCATCAGATAGTCATCAATTTGATCCCTGTACAGTCTCCCATCCTTTAGATTTTGTAATTTGGAACAAATATGGCTTAACTTGACCATTAAGAATGAATTATTTGAGTCTAACTTTTGTCCCTTTCAACATGAAATGAAAGATTAAAGAAATCATTGAGGTCATTTTTGTGGGGCTTTGAATGGTTGGTTTAATGTAAAGCAAACGATTAATCTATTTGCTCCCTATAAGTCTAGTATTTATACAGAAGATTTGTTGTGCCCTGTGTTGTCCTCTTGGACAGTTGGTCGAAATACGAGTCGCTTTTACCATTATTTTATTATAAATTTTCTTTCTGTGACGAATCGACGGTTGGATTTGCCCTGGTGTCATGGTAATGTATCTGTTGAATATGATGTTGTGAGTGAAGAATAGTCAGAAATTTGAAGATTTGGTTTGGCAAGAAATGAAGAAAATGATCCACCTGCCACAAAATTAGGCTTTGTGTTCTACCAGCACAAACACCCAGCCCCAAAAGTCAAGGGAGGATTCTTGTATATCACACAGGTATACATCTCCGTCACCCTTAGCGCTTGTGAAGTGAGTCACGTGACGAGGGCTATAAGGTGATGGCGTTATATATCTCCGGCCACGCTCGAGTTTCCGCCAGGGGCCATGGCCCATGAGAGAAGTTCCAATCTGCTTGTGGTCCAAATAACCAGGGTTTGATTTATGCTAATGGATAGGAATTGGAGTGATTGTGGGAAGCAAAAGGTGATAGCTTTGAAACTTGAACAGGAGTGAGTGAATCAAAAGATAAGTTGGAATAACCAAATGGAAAGCAACATCATATACAAATGAGACCTCATCATTAAGCTTGGCGTGCAGTGTGGGTGCCATCTCTCTCTTTCTCCCTCCCAAACAAAGGAAAAAAGCAGTAAAAAGCAGTCTTTACCATTTTTAAAATTAATTTTCTGTCTCCACGCTTTCTTGTGTTGAAATTTTGGCCCTTTGAGACCCTACCACTTCCTTAATGCAAGGGCTAACAATATTCTATCATGTCACATGTTCCCCTAAGGAAAAATTATAGTGTGTAACTAGGATATAATCACTTGTTATAAATCTAAGTCTTAACTAAATATCAATAACCTATTGATCAGATATCAACGACCGATCAAATGTTGACGAAATAGTGATCTTATATTGAAACACTGATTATTTTGGCAATCGAGATTTGAAAAATAACCTATTTTTCCCATTTATATGATCCCACTTTAAAAGTTAATCTCAATAAACTTATATTATAATATGTGAACTAGTTATACCAGGTGATTGTATTCTAGTACCACCAAACTAATCACAGCCATCCATTCAAGAATATGAGAAAGTATGTCATGAATTGACTTTATGGGGGTCATTACACAGGTTATATATATGGACTTAAAGATGTCAAATATGAGTGGAGTGAATCTTCTGCAACACAAAAAACCCAAAAAATGCATGTTGTCTTTAAGTCCAAGGTGGCCAAAGTCACCAAACATTTCAAGTCACTCCAATCAAAAATGCCCAGATTTGGTATCTTCCCAACTGGTGGCTGCTTTGATGGATGCAGGGATCACACACAGCAATCCTCAGGATTTGGAACTAGGGTTTGGAACCTGAGTGACAAGCCTGTGGAGCTGCAGATAAGAGTTGGGTCCATACTAAAAAAAGTTCACACTTTGAAACCAGGCTGCTCAAAGAGGCTGAAATGCAAGAGCATATACAAGGCCTACATGCCCGGCGGAGAGAGTGGCGGCAGCGGCGGTGGTGGCATGAAGGGCTTGCTGTATTACTACGACGAGACCTGCCACCCTTACGTTTGGATTCATGACACTGGTGGTGATACTTTGAGGATGGTCAAGCAGCAATATATCAGCCTTGAGGACCTCAGGGACTCTTGTGAGATCAGGATTTTCAGGGATCATCAGAGAGGCTGCGTTTTAGTTCGGAAGAAACCGAGGCCGGATTTTTGCTGATGGGATTGGTTTTGATTTTGCTATCTGTTTTTGTTAGTCTGTAATGTTATGTGTTTGTATTGGCATTGTTAAAGCATGCTAATCTTTCACGTCTTTTGATTTTTTTTTTCCTCGTTGGAGGGTTAATTTGTTTGTTTTATTGTGTGTGATTGAAGAATTCAGATGTTTTATGGTCAAATTATGAAGAAATGTGTATGTAGCAGTAGCACCAAGATGTATACTGAATGAAATTGTTGCAGGTTTGGATATGGTTTTTCTTTATGTGGAGTTTGGTCATTGAGAAAAATAAAAAGGGAGAAGAAGAGAAAACGGAAAAAAAAATGAAAAATGAAAAACGAAATGGTACTAAGGCTTTCTTGTTGTTGAATTGTGTTGTGTGGGGAGGGGGCTGGATGATTTACTGTTTTGAATACAATAAAAATCATGTATGTCATCGGTGGTGCCACTGAGACAATATATTGATTGCAAGAGAGTTTACCTAGTGACGATGTTATGATACTGCATAGGTGCTGGCTTTGAACCGAAATTAGTTGGTTAACATGTTGATTGTGTAGTGTGTTTGTAGTGTTTATTTTGTTGCTAGATTCTTTTTGTCATCAGGACTCGAAACCATATTTTGTTATAAAATCAAAATGAAATCGTTGAACAAGGCAGTTTTAGTTGTTTAATTACACTAGAGTGTATAAATACATGAAAGGTATGAATACGGCAAACAACATCATTCTTATGTACTTCCAATTAACACAAGTCGTTCAAATGCAATCATCAATAAAACAAGCTTCTTCTTCCCACTTTTAGTCCGTGAACACCAGGATGTAAAACAAGGCAACTATCCCACTCGAACTGGAGTACCAACTAAGAACACACGGGACAGGCAATGTATTGGACAAAGGCTAAGATGGCTCGGAGGAAAAGATCCTTGGCGTGGAACCTGTAATGGCATACCATTTGTATTGGGGAATTCTCACATAATCATTTTAATGTCTCACACATTTTTTTTTTCTTTTTAGCTATTTAATTGAATAAATTGGTTATGATTTTTTTTTTAATACAACTATATATTTACATTAAGAGGATGAGAGAATAAATTCGTTGCGAAATTACCATTCTCGAGATTCGAACATAAAATCATCTCCAACCGAAAGGACTAAACATAGCTACATCTAGAATTTTAGCCCTGCCTCAGTAACTTATTAGTTTTTAGTCTATACTTTAAATTTATTAGTTAATTTAGTTAAATTACCGTTGGATGTTTTCAAAGTTAGCCGTTGAATTTGTATCAATTATTCAACTGGAGAGTTGGGTCCCAAAAAAATGTGCTAAAAGAGGGACTACATTTGGTAAGCCTGATGCCGCTATAACCAAATAATGGTATGGTGGACTCTATAAAACTATAGTGCAGTCGTGGAGATGAGTTATTGAGCAAATTAGATCATTTTTTGGCATTTAGACCTTTGGCCTTCTCTATTGGAGATGATCTAAGATCTCTAACTTACAAGTGAAAAAAAATACTATTAAATCATAATACTAAGTAATAACTACAATCATGATTAAACAAGAGCATGTAAGGACTTAATAAGGCGTGTGCTTATCATTTCCTTTGCAGACGTGATGTGAAGAAGTTACCTTCCAAAGACCAGTGTCGTGAAGAGCCGATCGCACCATCCATACGCAACCAACACTTCCAGCTCGAGTGAGCGGCAACTCGAGCATTGAAAAAAAGGCGCATCATTTTTCACGAACCCACTGCCCTACCTGACTTGCGCATCGGAGAGTGGTTGCCCAACATTGCTACCACAACTACAAGGTGACCTCCGCCACAACTTAAAGGAGCAAAAGAATACCCGAGCTGGAGGCATCGCAGCCTATCTCATTTGGGCTTCAGTGCATTTTGACCCGTCGTTTCGTTGATCTATTTTTATGCACAAAATTGAATCGGAATCTTCTTATTTATAAATAAAGTTAAAGATTTTAGCACCCCTGAATGGTCTTTAAGTGTTCGTAACTAAGAGATGAGTGCAAAAAAGGCCCATTCGTTTTTTATTTTAATGTCAAAATGTGAGATGAACATGACAGAATATGATGAGTTATAAATGTATAATAGTGTAAGTTATCTAATTTATTGTTTTACATAAGTTACAAGCCTTGTATTACAAGTCTCTGTCAATCTAATTTTATCTCTAAGATTTAATCTCATCCTTATGTTACAAACAAAAAAAACTCTATATAAAGCCGCAAAGAACCAAAACCGTGACAAATAGTATCGTTTTAACTTTTTTACTCGACAAATAATTTCTCTTCACGCGAACAAAACGCGATCTTGTTCCTTTCTCCTTTCTCATACAGTCGTCGTCTACAGTACACGGTTCCCATACCAAGTCCTCCACCTAAATCCACCATTTTTCTCCACTCACAATTCACAACCCAAAGCTTTGATCTTGACAAATGGGGATTTCATGGAGCACCAACAGAAGAAGGAACAACTATTACCAAAACCCACCACCACCTCCGCCGCCACCGCCGCCACGTCAACCCCATTACATCTCAAGTTCTCATCCTTATTACTCATCGGAGCATGCCTCTCTTTCTCCACCTCCACCGCCACCACCTCCTCCTCCTCCACCGCCACCTGGCCCTTTGGTTTCAACTTCTTCTTCTTCCTCCTCCTTTTCATTTTCTTCTAATAACAACTACCCATATGCCAATTCCGCCACACCTTACGCCCCACAAGGACCGCAACCCAGAGCTCCGTACCCCACACACTCTCTCCCTCTCCCACCTCCTCCTCCTTCTCCGCCGCAAACCCATTACTGCTACGGCCACTACAACTCCTGCAACCATGGCAATTCCATGATGGGGCGCTTCAGTTACAATTACAATTACAATTACCAGCAGCCTTATAATTATGGTGCTACTCAGAGTAATGGGTGGCCCGCAATTCGGCCTCCTCCGCCGCCTGCGCCGCCTTACGTTGAGCATCAGAACGCCAAGAAGGTGAAGAACGATGTCAACGTGCATAAGGACACGTTGAGGCTTGAGATTGATGACCTGAACCCTGATCAGCATTTGGTGTCTTTCGTTTTCGATGCCATGTATGATGGGAGGTGAGCAAATTGGGATTCTTTTTGTTGTCCGCTGGTTGTTCGCTTCTTGAATTGGTCTATGTCTTATGTTATGTCTGTGTTTGAAGCTTGTGTCTTGTAATAGATTGTGTGTTTTTGCAATGTGTGTGTTGATTGGTATGTATTCATGCTCAGATGTTGTGGACAAGAAATGGGATGGGGTTTTGATCTCAAAGTTATCGGCATTTAGGACCTGAGAATACTAAAGCCTTTAACCGTATAACCATAAATTTAAGAATTTGAGTTAGCTGAGATGGAATTTTCGTAGCAATTAATTGGGTAGAGGAAGAGGACTGTAATGCTTTTGGATTCATTGCTGCCATATCCATGGAAATGGAGTGCTAGTGTTGCTGCTATGATACTGAACCGGAAAAAATTAGGGGAGGTGGGACTAAATTTCTGATATGTGTTCATTTAGAAGGGTAAGGAGACAATACCCTATGAGTTATACAAAACTCGCTTTCATATGCAAGTCTGCAATTACATTGATTATCTAAGCATATGAAATATTAATAAGATGTGGGACTTATGAAACGATTGTCACTTGATGCTCATATTTGAATCTTTGGATGATGTAATTGCTGATGGACGCCTTAAAAGAAGCTCATGAATTTCGCCTTTTAATATGTTTCCTAGCTTGGGGGATGACAGTGGTAGATATGACCATAAACTAGAAATTAGCTACAGACATCAATGTTCGTTGGCAAATCAATGATTCGAACAACTTCACATTACGGTTTGAAGTGTAATTTTTTGATAGAAATTTTTGCTCTGCACCCTGAAGCTCTAGGTTTTTATCTATCTTGAGAAGGTATGGGTCCTCCTTCTCCAAGAGGAAGGTTCCCTATCATATACAAAGGGTTAATTTTCTTGCTTTTGTTTGTTGAACACTGCTCTCAAGAGGAAGTAGAAATATGAAGGGAGATAATTTACTGCAATCACTTGTTGGGCTAGCAGTTTTTTCCAGATTACTGCTTTCATGATAAACTCTGGATTAGGAGGTCATACTACCTTTGATATATTTCATTCTTCCTACAAAAAACAGGGGTCATACTGGCATCTAACTGAACCCTCTCAGATCTGGTTATCTTTACTGAAGTAAGATGAAGCTATGTTGAAACTAGTTTCTTAGAGTTTTCGTCAATTATTTTATAGGTTTTGATAAATCATTAAGTAAAGTAATGGTTTTATCTTTGTAATTGAGTCTGCTCTTGTGCTTCATTTACTGCAATTGTTTTTTAAATAACTCTTTATTATTTGGTCCACACTGTTTATAGTACCAATAATGCTATAGTCCATGTCTTGTTTATCCACATTTCTTTCAGTCTAGAGGTTCATTGAAGTATTATATTTAATTTGCTTTTCAATAGTGCTTGGAAACAACTTTCTTGGATTAGTGCTACTTGTGTTATGCAGAAAACCATGCTGGTAGGTGCTTTAGGTTGTTTGCACTTTTGTCTATATATTTGATATGATTAGCATTCTTAAGTGATAAGAGTCACCGTCCAAAAGTAGCACTAGTGTAAAACATTTGGTGTTATGATTGCTGCATATTCCTGCTGAGCATTTGCGTGTAGCCAGCTAGCATATGTTGTGCATGTATATGGCACTCACCCTATGCATTTTCCCTATATATAGAAAATAAGTGGGTTCCACTTACATCACATGCCTATTGGCCACGGTCATGATTCTCTAACAGTAAAGACCATGGCTAGTTCTCCATGGTTATATGATAACAGTTTCCATTTTCTTAGCAGTCTTTTTAGGCGATCTTCATTTCTTATGGGTTTTATCATGTTCCTTTCTTCTGATCAAGTCTTCTTATTGACAGCATTACGGTCTTCTACTTTGCTAAGGAAGAGCCAGACTGTAGGTTTGTTCCACTATTTCCTGAAGCATTTATGCCAGTGAGAGTCCCCTTTCAGAAGGGTCTTGGCCAAAAATTTCGCCAGCCCTCAGGAACAGGAATTGATTTAGGCTTCTTTGAGTTGGATGATCTTTCAAAACCATCACCAGGAGAAGATGTATTTCCGCTTGTAATATCTGCTGAAACATGTCTGCCACCTGATTCAACAGATGAGCATATTGTTGGGCCTACCCCAGATACATCGCCTCGTATGCAGATTACTCAAGCTGTGCTGGAAAAGAACAATGGTGATCATTTCCAAGTGAAAGTAATTAGGCAGATACTGTGGATTGATGAGTTCGGTATGAGCTACGTGAGATATATGGAATAGGAAGCTCGACAGTGGAAAGCTTTGATGACACTGAACCAGGGAAGGAATGCGTGATATGCATGACTGAACCTAAGGACACTGCTGTGTTACCTTGTCGACATATGGTGAGAGTTTGTCTAAGATACGTAGAATATGCTGGAGGATCTGCACTTATACCATGCGGTAGAAAATCTGTTGAGACTGATGATCTGGAAGGCTCAAGCCCATTGTGCTCAAGGATGTCTTTTGTGAATAGACTGATCCAGGCAGATGGGCTTGACTCATCCGATCACACATCTATGATAGTCCAACTCCCACACTAGATTTCTGTTAAATTTCAGGTTCTCTTGGTTAGTGGTTAGGAGCAAGAGCATTGGATGGTTGGGTCAGTAACATGCTACCATGGTTTTTGTTTCTTTCTCAAATTTCTAACTGCTGTAGATTTAGTTTCTTTAGATGACGAGAAATATAATTCTTGATTAGAATTCCTTTGTAACTCCTAGAATGTGTATGACAATGCAAGCTAGGATACATACCTCAAGCTTTTCACTTTTAAGACTACAGTTGTTTATTCTCACTTCATTTGTTTTTTCCAGTGTATGTGCAGTGACTGTGCAAAAGAATTGCGGGTTCAATCCAATAAATGCCCCATCTGCCGTCAACCCATTGAGGAACTTATAGAGATCAAGATAAATAAAAGTGAGCAATGAAGATACTTGTTTCTCCATACTATGTGGATTGTGGTATGGCTATCGAATTCTTTTATTTGTGTGTTTTCACCTGTTGTATAAAGGGGCATTTTTGTTTTGTTTTGTATATTGTAATTGCTGTGTTGCTTTCTAATATTCATGTGATTATCTTACATAGATGACTGAAATTTGATCCTCAAGAACTAACTTTCTTAACCATTATATATACCCATGGTGTGTGCAAACTGCAAGCTCTCGGTTCCCTTTGTAGGCAACTCGTTTAGAACTTGAAAACTAAAAAAATAAGTAAAAGTGCGGGTTTGATTTCCTTGAATGTTTTGTGGAGTACTTATACATTTAAGGAGTCTTCATCTTTTTTTTTTCTTTTTTTTTTTTTTTTTTGAATTTTTTGAGGTTTACAGTATCTTCACGGTCCTCATCATTTTCTTTCCTTGGGGGAGAAAAAGAAAGCGCGGGAGGCATGTGTTTGTTTACTTTCCGCTGCTTTAGTCGATTCTCTATGGTATCTTATACATTCTATATACTTATATCTTTATGTGTACATATGTATTCAAGGAATAGAATGAAGAACATTCTAGGTTGGGACATCTAGATAGGACAAACATTCTGTGCCTCATGGAAGTACTTTTTTTCACTCTGGGATACATCTCAAAAGGAGTCTGGGAGGGAATGTTTCCCGTTGAAGTTAGCGTGAAGGGACAAATTAAGATTCTAAACCTATAAAGCTTAGGTGGGTCAAATTGCATCTTATTGAACATCCCTACTGTATTTGCCCTCAGTACTTTATTTCTTATATGTGTGTTTGTGTGTATTAGGTTCTTATAGAATCACACCATCTTATTATGTTGTATGTTAGCCTTAGTATTCTTTTTAACTTTGTATTTGTTCACTGTTTAGCGTTTGAACAAATTAATCCCGATCGTGTTACTTGTTGATATGTTAGCCACTGAGACCATGGACATCTGAATCCTTCAGACTAGTATAGGAACATACTATATGACCAGTTAGGAGATGTATTTTCTCATGCTTATTCAATTACGTGACCCTCGGCTTTCTTTGGTTTCTTCACTAGTGAATATTCTTTGTGGTGGGTGTGGGTGTGGGTGTGGTATCTCTTGCAAGAGAGGATGCGATTGACTTGTTTTAACAGACGATTCCTTGCATCAACAGCGTCCGATTCTGTATGCCAAAGCTGTCATAGTCTTCCCTTGTTTAACCTCCTTTAACCACACTACAAATTGCTGGTAGCATCGCGCTTTTATCCTCCACCGGTGCGTATGTAATCACCAGCTGTTTCGTTGTTATCGCACAACACTGTATGCTTTACCCCGTCACGAGGTTTTCTTACACATAAGGGCACCTCTTGTTTTCACTGCTATTTGCCTGCACTGAATGTTAGCTATAACTCCCATATGATTACCTACTTTTCTCTGTATATTCTTTCCTAATGTTGTCTGTGCTGTCCGTTAGCCGTTGTATATATATTCACTTCTGCAACTTGTTGATATCCTTCCGAAACACTTGCGCTCCGAATTGGTTTCCTTTTTAATCTTCTGGTAAAAAAAGAAGAAAGAAATCTTGTTACAAATTTCATTAATCACTACCGTCATCGCGTTCGGACTTCTGTTCGAATCTTGTTAGGTTCACATAATCTGCAGGCAAAAATCTAATAAATGACGACCTCAAATCTTCGAATCTCTCTTATCAATCACTATCTGCAGAAGGCCATGTGGTGCTTCATGTGCCACCTTCTGCATAAATGGCAATGGCATTGCTTGGCCGCCCAAGTCATTCCTTTTTAAAACCTCCCTCACAAGGAAAGATGTTATGTCAAGTTCCATACATAGGAGAGAGGCTATAGAGCTACCCACTTTGACATACATTCAAGTTTCAACAAAGTTCTAAAGCTCCCGTGCATGTAGTTTAGACCGTTCTGCTTTTTAAGTGCTGCCGTGTTGCCCACCGTCTCTTTGTGTATGGAGGCCAAATGGAAACCTAATTAATAGTTTTCAACCTTTTTTTTTTTTTATGTGCTTTCGGAGAGGCTGTTAGTTATCTCCGGTTGTATATTCACTTGTGTTCATCTATCTATCTCATCGCTACAACCGATTGTAAGATAAATTTTACATGATGAGAGAAAGACATAAGCAGATATACATAATTGGTTATAAATCATATTTTAAATGTAGCTATAGCAAACATACAACTGGAAATAAGGATATGCAACTAGTTACAAAGCAGATCTCAAGCGATGAGATAGATAGACACAAATAATTAAGAATCAATTACAATCTCCACTGTTTATGAGGAGATTTTATAGTGATTAGTTGCATGATGTGAGAGAGAAAAAGACGAGAATATATTCTGCTCTGATTATGAATCAACTTTGATTTTGCTTAAACTTTACCCAATCACTAAGTCTCCTCAAAAACACAATCAATGTTCCAAAATCAATTTCTCTTGGTTTAAGTCCCTTTTCACACCCGTCCAAATTAACATCTTTTTACTAGTAAAGTTACCACTTGAAAGGGGTAAACAGGAAAGCTAAAGGGGGAAAAAAGGCGCTATGGTTTGTTTATACATCACCTCTCTCACCTCAGGCTTTTAAGGACATCAATGATTTGTAACCTTACGAAACAAGTGTCCAAAACTCATGAAAAAAATCTACCCAAAACCACAAGCAAGCAAAGCATGATTCATTTGCATCAATGGAGGAGGAGAGGACTTTGCTTGTGGCCCTCAATAGTTGCTTTCTTTTGCCTAATTGCTGTTAAAGTTGGCCATACACATGATCAAAAACACCAAAGGAGCTTTATTAGTTTCATAACCTGACCTACAGCCTGCTATTTTCCTTTCTAAAATGCTTATGTGACAGCCAATGCTCACAATTTGTTCACCATGGATCACTGCTTTTGTGGAAATTACCAAAATCTTAGGTTGTTTATATTGCAAAAAGCTTCTTTCACTTTTCTTTTCTTTTTCTTTTTTTCCATATTTTCCCACATTTCATAAATAATGGGCCTTACATTGCACCAAACCCTAGCTCAATTGGGAAATTTTCTTCAAGTTGGTGTAGCGACAACTGGCAAACCATTTTGGGGAGAATGAATGATATATGCACAAAAGGATGAACTCTTTTTATTTCCACCATTTGGGAATATGATATCTTTGCATGGGGGTTTAGAAATAGTATTGTGGAATTAAGCTAGTCTATTTCACATACTTTTATGTTTTTTTTTATCAGTTAATGGCATTTAAAAAAGAAGATCTAAACTTTTGGCCTTTACCAATTTTACCAGAGCAATTTCGGGTTTTTCTTCGATAGTTCAAGTAATTAGACCTTTTAATAATCTTTACCGTTCAATTTCATAGAATCAATTTTTTCCGTTCATTTCCGGACTACTCTCAAACTATTGAAGAAAATTAGAGCATTTCCGTTCGCTTAGAGTGACCTATGCGCGAGTAGGTGACTATTCACACGGAGAAATCTATTTGGGAGCTAAGATAAGGCAGGCGTTTGTTAACTTTTTTTCTTCTTAAAACTCTTACCTTAGATTGTATTATTGAGAAACAACAATTAACAATGTTGGTTTTTTTTTTTATTGTTTTTTTTTATTTTAGCTAAAATGGTCCCTGAGATTATCTTAACTCTCCATTTTGGTTGAAAATCGATAGAAGTGGTCCATACGTTTGTTCACCCTGAATCATTTTGGTCTTTCTGTGAAATATTTATCAGAATTCTCGTTACTATTAACTGAGAGGATCAAGGGAAGATTAAAGAAACCACTAAGGTTGCAGGAAGTTGATATTCTCAAAGATTCAAGACTGTTTGCACTTAAGAGTGTGATTTCCCTTGCTTTGTGCAGTACAACCTTGAATCCTTCTCGTTAACGTTTTGTAATGTTTCCTCCCTCCCTTCAAGACCTCTGACTTCTCTTTTTTCAGGTGAGTGATTTCCTTTTTTAGGCTTCTTTAGTGAATCTTAGTTATAGCTAAATCTTCCTCTTTCTCCTGGCACAATTGCGACCTTTCCTTTTGGTGTAAGACAAATGAACGCCATTGTTCTCGTGAAGACTGCATCGTGTGCTCTTCCTAGAGCACTCCTTGCCCTGGTCAGCTTCCACATGCGTTAATTCTGGTAATGCATCTCTTGGCTTTTATTCATTGTTCTCCTGCGTGAGTTAGGAAGTTCGCCTCTCTCTTCATTAAATGCGGGCTCTCTTGGGCTTTCACGTGAACTTAAGGCTTTGAGTCTAATTCCTTTTTAATTGACTTAGTTGGCTTGCTAAGAAAAAGGGAAACTAGGTTTGTTCTCTCTCAAACTCACCTACGTGGACTTCAAAGATTGTGGGCTTGGATCTTTGGGCTCCTAAGCAACCCAAAGTCTTCCATATCTTGACCCTGCGTAAGCCCAATACAATTTTGTAAACATCCACACCATGATTCACTTGGCAAGGCATGGCACGTGGCTTGGGCATATTTTAGTGTGAATAGTAGTTAGCAAAATAGAGCTTGGCGTAATGAATATGCAAGGATTTGCATAGGTGTGGCATGATTATACAAACATCTAGTCCGATTATCATTATTTTAATGGCATGGCATGGCATGATTGTGAATGTTTTCTCTTCTCAATTTCATGCCTTGTCATGTGTTTAGGCTTGATTCAGGGCTTTTACGACAATAGGGCCTTGAGACTTAATTGGGTTTGCATATGACATTTTTGGACCTCAACAATTGTCAATGATGATGTATTATGTGCATTGAGCATACGAGCTCGACGTATGTATCTTCTATGCCAATCGAAATTTTCAAGACCACACCTCTTGAAGTGTATATTTGTCAACTCAAGCTTCTTATGTACACGTGTTAAACCCTTAATATGCAGGAATGGTTTTTTTAACCACAGTTATCAAATCAATATATCATCTAAATTTTCTCTTTTTAAAGAGGTAGAAAGAGTTGATTTATCGATTTAAATATATTTTCTTTTATGGTCGATTTTCCTTTTTAGTTTCCATGTATTTTGACGTAATATTATATTTTGACTATTTTCATTGTACAAGTTGACCAAATTAAATGAATTATGGGGTTTAGAGTTAGGCTGTAACGTGTCTGCAGTGCACCTGGAGTATTTACTTGCGTAAGATATGACTATGAACTTTTTTATACGTGTAAGTCAAATTAGTATGTAATCTTTTATGAGTTAGGGGTATGGTTGATCTATAAAGAGGTTATGATATTCCTATTCTATAGATGTAAAAAAGGTTTTTAGATAATGTAACCAGTCTCCGAGACAGAGTTTCTCTAGCTGGAAAAGGGTTGGAGAACGCCCACCCCCCCCCCCCACAACTCTATTTATATTTATTCCAAAACAAGCAGTAGCCTTGCAGATCATCCGACGCGTAACAAAGATTCAACCATCAAGAACATGGATCGACTCTATTTCCATACTTCTTTGCCCTACTCAATAAGAGCGAGGCATATTTTAATGTTGAATTTACGGATGACTTTATTTCCTCTAATTTTCTATAACATTGCATTTGTCAATTTCATCTCACATGTTTTATGTCCCTAAGTTAAGTTTAACGACCCTTATTATTTTGAATATGTCAATAAACCCTAATAACTTGTGTTTTCTTTCAATAATCTTTAGTGAAGGTATATAATTTAGTTCAGTTAGCTGACCAAGTTTTGACATTTGGTTACAGAAGTAATCAATTTTATTATCATTTCTGCAACAAAAGGTCAAAATTAATCATTCCAACTAATTGACCTATAATCTAATCCCAAAATTTGAGTTTTTCTTAATAAAATACCTCACAATTTTGTTTGTTTTTTGTTTTTTTTGTTTTCTTTCAAGACCTCTTTACATAACCACAAATCGGTGCCCACAGATTGATTCATGTCAAAAAGGGTTCACACCGCAGGAGTGTCATTACTCAAAAGTTACTACTCAGAGGCACTGGATTCACCCAGATCCTTAAAAATCCGTTGGATTTTAAAGAGGTGATCTGGTAAATTGCTTCTGCCAAGCTCAAAGTACGAATAGCAGCAGCAAAGTACACAGAGGTGGAGGAGGAGGAGAAATTTTTAATTATGACGGATATACAAGTGGTATATTACGAGTTTAAATAGAAATGGTGGAAAATTATAATTTTTAAGATATTAATTTTTTAGCATACATATCCCACCATTTATATAATGACACATAATGTATCATTCCGTGTACAAATCATATTGAAAAATCTTATTGGAGGAATCAGACTGTAATAAAAAAAACTATCTAAGCATATATACGAAAGAGAAGGTCCAATTTAATGGCATTATTTATTTTACCACCGATATTGGGAGAGGAAAATCTGACACAGTTTTCATTCGCATCTGCTGAAAATAATTAATAATTATCAAGGATTAAATTTAATAGTTGAAACGAAATCTGACCCTCTTCAATTCACCATCGCTATTTAACACTCACCTCCTCATCCTCACTCCTCACTCCTCACTCCTCACTCCTCCATGGTTCTTATGAAAGCCAAGCCAGGAAGCAACTGCTAGCTTCCGAGCCAAGCCAACTTATAGATCAGAAAATACAAATAATAGCAACAAATAATAAAGGCCTGAAAATATAAGAGTGAGAAAACGCCGTGGAGGAGGCACCACTCTAGAGTCTCCTTTTCTCTCTCTCTAACCCTGAAATAGAGGAAGCAGAGATGCCCATTGAAGTTTAATGTCTACCCACCTCTTCTTCTGAGCTTCCCCTCTCTCTCTCTCTCTCTCTCTCCCCCCTCTCTCTGTTTTCTGCAGCTTCTGTTTGATAGATCTATCAGCGACCCCTTTTTCTGTTTTTACTATTAATTGTAACATTGTGTTAATTTGTTGCATTTGAGCTGTAACTATGAGTAAGGAAGAGTTCTTGAAGATCCAGGTACACTCTCTCACTCCCCTCTTCTTAATTCTTTGCTTCATTTGAACTCAAATGTTCATAACTTTATAAAACTTTTTAAATTTTTTTGACCGTTGTGAATATTTCTTTTTCACTCTGCTGTATTCTTTGGGTTATCTGTACATGCAGAAATGTGTTCTCAAAGTGAACATCCATTGTGATGGATGTAAGCACAAAGTGAAGAAAATCCTGCAGAAAATCGATGGTATCCTCCATTTCACCCCCCCCCCCCCAAATATTTAATTTAATCACAGAAAATTATTTCTTTCTGCTTAGTGCTTAATCACATTTATCCTTTTGTTTTTGTTCGATACAAATTTTAAAGTTTGCATTTTTCTAAAATTTGTTGGTTAATTTTGAACAGGGGTTTTCACCACCGACATAGATTCAGAGCAGGGAAAGGTGACGGTCTCCGGAAATGTAGACCCTGCTATTCTGATTAAGAAGCTTGCGAAATCCGGCAAACATGCAGAGCTTTGGGGCGCTCCGAAGGCGAACAATAACAACAACCAGAGCAACCTCCCCAATCAGTTCAAGAACATACAAAACGACAATGGCAAAGGCGGAAACAACAACAGCGGCAAAGGCGGGCAGAAGGGGGGCGGTGGCGGTAACAGCCAGCCAAAGGGCGGCCAGCAACCCCAGCAGCAACAGCAGAACCAGCAGCTTCAGCAGCAGCAGCTGCAGCAACTCCAGCAACTCCAGCAGCTCCAGCAAATTAAGGGGTTACAAGATCTGAAGCTGGCCCAATTGAAAGGCATGCCAATGCCCCCTAATTTCAAGGACCAGAACCCGAACCCGAACCCGAATCAGAAGGCGGTGAAATTCAACGTGCGGGAGGAAGAGGATTTGAGTGACGATGACCTCGATGATGATGATGAATATGACGAGGATGACGATGAGTTTGATTATGACATGGATGAACCCGTTCATCCTCTCAGTAAGGGGAAGCCTGTGATGATGGGCAATGGCGGCCAGGGGATGCCGCCGAACATCATGATGATGATGAAGGGAAACCATCCGCAGATGATGAATGCCGCAGCCCAAAAGGGTGGTGGTGGGAATGTTGGTGGTCAGAATAGCGGTGGTGCTGCGGGTAATGGGAAAAAGGGCGGCAGCGGTGGGGCTGTGCCTGCTCAGGTGAATATGGGTGGTGGGAACAATGAGGGTAATAATGGAAATGGAGGAAAGAAGGGTGGCGGCGGTGGAAACCAAAACCACAATCAAGGAGGCGGGGGTGGAAAGAATGGAGGCAAAAGTGGAGGCTTTCCGTCGGATGGCAAAAATGGTGGTGGGGGAAATGCCAAGAATGGAAACAGTGGTCAAGGGGGTCCTAATGGGAGCATGGACAATGGCAATGGGGGTAAAAAGGGTGGTGGAGGAGGCGGAGGCGGCGGCGGAGGAATGAGTGAAGTTCAAGCTTTGAACAATGCTTTCCAGAACATGGGTGGCCGTCCTCAGGGCATGCCTGGAGGTAATGTGGGACAGATGGGCAACATGAACATGGCAATGGGCCCAATGGGTAGCATGCCTATGGGCCAAATGGGCCAAATGGGCCAAATGGGCAACATTCCAGCTGTCCAAGGCCTGCCGGCTGGCGCCATGAATGGCGGTGGTGGCGGAGGCGCCGGTGGAGGTGGATACTTCCAAGGAGCTGGGCCTGAGGCCATGCCTGGTAACCCCTACCACCACAACAATACTTGCAGGCTGTGATGAACCAGCAAAGGGCCATGGGCAATGAGAGGTTCCAACCAATGATGTATGCTAGACCTCCACCTGCTGTTAACTACATGCCACCCGGCCCACCGCCGCCATACGCATACGCTCCTCCTCCAGCAGGTGAACCATACTCTCACTTCTTCAGTGATGAGAACGCCTCAAGTTGCAATGTGATGTGAAAACGGAAAAATTGACTGGAAAAATGGTCCTGCTGCTGCTGATTTGGGTTAATTTGCTGAGTTTGTGGTGGTTCTGGTGGTGGTGATTTCAGTTAATAGTTCCAATGACTAGAAATCCGATGCCATATTATACATGGAAATGTTTTTTTAGCTTTAATTTCTCTCTTTTTTCCCATCTATGATCATCTTACCTTTTAATCCTAAGTTAATTAGGGTTTAATTATTAATAGAGAGTATTTATAGATAATATTTTTAAAGTAATTAGGGGAGCAGATGGGGATGTAAGTGGAAGGAGGGGGAGATAGTGCTCTCTGCTCTCTATTTTTTATGAGGATGTTTATATATGTTTATATAAGTTGCAAAAACAAAAATAAGATGAAAAGAATGGGAAGCCCATCTCTCTGCCCATTTTCTCTCAATAATTTCCAAGTCCGAAATCCTCTCTTTTCTTTTCTTTATTTATCAGAATTTTTTATAGTTCAAACAATATTTTACGTTAAAATACACTAATCACCGAAACGCAGTAGGTTGAAGATGAGTAAAAGAACAGTGAATATGGCAAGTGCAATGTGCATTGTTGCTCATTATCCATTTACAAAATTTGCCTGCCCTCCCTGTTTCCTCCAACGTGATTGACATCATGGATGTTTGGGTGGTGGGTCCACCTAAATGAGTAGGGCTAGTGGAAATCTGGACCCACAATCCTCAGCAGTGTTTTTGGTGATGGTGTTTCATGTATGCCCCCATTGCTTACAAAGAAAAAGAAATTATTGATTCTCTCTACCCCCTTTCAAAGTCCCTGCTGTTCGAAAAAAAAAACACGTAATTAGAATATAATAAATAAAACTTTAGTATAAATTAACAATATAGATTGTTTTGTATTTTATTTTGTTCTTTGGGACCCATAAGTAACAATTTTTCCTCACATATGCCATATAATTTGACATATGTGGGCAAGTTTTCCTTCTACATACATCATCAATTCACGTTTACACATTAAAAAAAAATAGCTGTTGCAGGTAAGAAGTTAAGCAGTGCTCTTTCCTTTACTTTCTGCGGTGATGTTTTCATTTCATGCGTCTCTTTATGCATTCTTTTTATTTTTGTTCATTAAGTCTCCCTCCTCTAATAGAAAAGGGGTGATTTATGTACTCTCTTTGACCTTCTACACCTCTTTACTTTAATTATGATCCTTGATTTGCTTTGAATTCATGATAACTTTCAACCACAGCATGGTCTGTTACCAATACGATATTATCCCAACTTGAACATTTATTGTTGATGTTGGGTTTCACCGCAAAGGGTCTATGTGATATAAGAGATTAAAACTTTTATGTATTAATTATATATTATTTTGTCATACGTTTGATGTTGATCTTATTCTCCAACAATTCATTCCAACAGTTGGAGGATAAAATGATTGTGAAAAAAAAAAAAAAAGAGGATAATAAAACACTTTTTTAGTCTTTCTAAATATTTTTGTTTAATCTTGTTTGTTATGTTAATTTGATTTGTTTAATTTTTTATTTTTGAACAAATGATATTATTTATACTAAGAGGAAGGGAGTGGGCTTAACCTTACAATGGACTAGCAATAATATGGTTCAAACTCGCATTTGACGAGAATCGAACCTAAGACCTCTCACTTACAAGTAGAAATAAATATCACTAGACCGTAGTACTAAGTGGCCACAAATAAATAAAGATTTGTTAAGAGGAAAAAGTATTGTGAAAATCAACTAAAAAAGTAGAATAAAATGGAGGTGATTTTGAATTTTGTGTAGATTTGTTAAGATCCTTTCAAAAGTGAGACTGCTGTCATCTCACGTTTTTAGTATAATATTTTATAATATTAACATAAAAATTCACGTTAATTTGTGAAGTAGTAAATAGTTCTATTTTAGAAGTGTCTCTTTAGTATTTCTCTTTCTCATACATTGGGCAAACGAGAAGATGAAGAAACAAAGAATAATGGGAAGCATTATATTGTGGGGAGAAAATGTCTATATTGAACGCACTGTGACATACCATTGACAATGAAGGTGTTGACAAAGACAAGCTAACAACTTTGTATTTTAGAAAATCTAAAGGCGTTGACACTTTGGACAGAAATTCAGGTCTGATGAGTGAGTGAGTGACACACTGAAAGAAAGAAGGAAAGAAAGAGCATAAAAAAAATTTACAACGGAGAAGTAGATGAAGGAGAGTGGACCCCACAACACAAACTTGATTTGGATTCGTCACATGATGATGATAATGGAGGAGCTGTTGCTGCTGCTGCAGCATTGCTGGTATACTGTTCCGTCGAGTTCCATCGGTCCACTGTCTAATCAGACAGCGATTGATAGGAAGCTCCGTTGAACCTTCCCAGAAGTACTTCTCTGTTCCCCACTGCTTACCATCCCCCTTTGTATAATTTAATAAAACTTTGATTAACGAGAAGCACAAGTTTAATTACTAACTAATTGGGTCAAGCTTTGGGTTACTAATTTACTAATTTAGCAGCATAATCAGTAGACTAAAGTGTCTAGTACTAGGATTTTTTTAAAATTTAATTGGCTGCAAGCAATGACTTTTGTTTGATAATTTGTTTTAAGGGCTTATGAAGGTAAGGGATTTTAATTGAGATTCTACCAAATATGGACTTAAAAAATAAACATGTAAGACTATTATTTTATATGTCAGGAATTGTTTATGTATTTAACTTTGGAATCAGATTATTAACCTAATTGGTAAGTGGTAGATTCTTTAGTAGATAAAACATTCATTTTAACTAACTCGTTTCAAGTTTAAACTTTTTATTTAGTGTAGATTAGAAGTATAATATTGCTTGTTCCAACCGTAGTTTGTCTTTTGAGTTACATGAGAATGTATGATAGATTGATAGTAGACTGTCAATCAAAATTGCACATTACCAAATTACATCAATAATATATATATATATATATAAAATTAACTAATACTGTTTACACGTATTAGATTATTCATGACACATCCCAATTCAAAAATTAGAACATACTGACCGTCACATGTCACATCCCAGCCTAGGCCCTCACCACATCTCTGATCGGGATGTGACAATTCATATTGTTGATACTCTCTAATAGAAGTATAAATTACAAATTGCATGAGAAACTCATATATTGTATGTTTAAATAGCATTACTCTATTAAAAAACAATATGATGCGATATATTATTAAACTGCCAATCGAGACTGTACATTCACGTATAATTGCTCAATCAAGAGATAAACCTTTTTGTTTGACACTAGATGATTTATTTCTTTGGGTGGTAAATATTTTATGGGGATGCTAAGAACATCCTCACGCAGATTTTCTTATTTATTTTTTCAATCTTTTTTATTCTGCAGTGTGTCTTAATGACCTACCTAATCTAATTTTTAGTTCACACTTTAAGATTAACTCTGTAATTAAAAAAAAAAAATTCAACCAAAATAGAAATTATTTAACTGTTCTATTAATGTAGTCAAAATTTCAATGTTAAATGAGAAACACAATTCTTCTATTTATTGAATAACCGTTAGATGGCTAAACAATTCCAAACTTAGTTAATTTTTTGTAGAGATAATTATTAAAGGGTGTCCTAAAAAAAAGTTCGTATCTTCATATGAAATTGCAAAATAAAATATAGAGAATGCTTGTCTACTCCATAACCTTTAGGCTTATTAATTGATTTGCTCCCTAAAACTATCATTTAGTCTTATATTTTACCTCTTGAAATTGGTTTCGTCTCACTTTGTCCCTTGAAAACTACCATTTTCGTCTCCTTAGTTTCGGTTCACTTATTTTTGTCTATTTGTCAAATAGAAATTAAGTTAAAGGGTAGTAAGGATATTTTACTTTTGATATGGCAGTTCGTCGCAAACTTAGAAAAAGTTTCTAGATATGTAAATTATAGGGTTTGAATTAGAATTGTAAAAAATGGAATTAGATTAGACAGCTTGGAGGCAAAGAATTGCGTTAAAGATATAATGTTCATACTTTTCTTCAATTTAACATTTACTTGACCGAATTGGACAAAAACAAAGTGAACAATGAGACAAAAATGATAATTTCAAAAAACAAGTGAGACAAAATCGGTTTTGAAAAGTGTCAAATGAAACTGAATGATAATTTCAAAAGGCAAACCAATTAGCTATTTGGAACTTTGACATCTCCAAAGTCGTAAGTGTTTGCTTGCAAGATCAGCCAACGACTTGTGTATCAGGCTCTACGGTTGCACGGGTAACGAGAGACCCAAGCCAAAAATTTAATGCTCGTAGCTCCAGATCCAATATTTCTCAGTCTGATTGGTTAACAAGACTCACATATCCTCCTCTTGGTTTGGACCAATCCAATCCTCAACATGAATGGTCGGGACCCTCTCTCCAAACATCAGAACTACGGTTCCCAATTGTCAATCATGCAAACTGACACGTGGCAGGAGAATGAGGACGTCTTTGACGGGTAGCTGGGGAATCATGCATATACACTCAAATTTCACATGGGATGTTGTATGGCTGCATGCCTGTATGGCAGTATGGGGATGAGGGTTTGGTTTCAGTTTTAGTCGGTTTTCTTTGGATTTATTTGCAAAATTATGCAATATGCATGTAATGCCATGCCAAACGGCACACTCACTCACACAAACCTAACAACTCACTGCAACAATTTCACTTCTCTGTTTTTGCTTCATCAAAATCATGTTTCTTGTTTCGGCTTATTATATTTTCTACTTCTGCAGACTACTATCGTTTCTTTCTTAGATATTTCACATTATACATCTGTATATATTATGTTATCAAACTGTTCGGATGTAATCACAAGAAAGAAAGCATCTTTGTATACATCACGTTACACATGCATAAAAAGCATATATGTTTTGTTTGTGTGAGTAACAAGAGTTAAACCCTTAGCGATATACTATTTGAAGAAAAAGGATCCTTCCCTTTCTCTTAATTCACCAAGTTCGGTGATCCGAGTCAGTGAAATTTGATCTAACGGCTAAAATTATTATAACTTTTAAAGTGGGCCCTTGTTTGTAGACACTAGCTCAAATTTCAATGGTCTGGATCCCCGAACTTGGTGGATTAGGAGGAACGGATCCAAAGAGGGTCCCTTTCCCTATTTGAAAAGCTATAATGAAACGATAAAAAA